TTGTAACCATATTTTCCTTTTACACCACATTTGTTTTCATTGTATATGTATTCCAGCAGTAATATAGGACTGAGCAAGTAGCTCAGTTTGTGGTCAGCAGTTCAATATTGGCATACAGATGGACTCTACACAGTGATTTCCTCTTGAGTAAGAATGACAATGGCATCTATATGCAGAGAATTGTTGTAGTGGGCGTTGTGGGACAGTCGTGTTATTGAAGACACTACCCTGGCTTCCTTTAGGATACAGCTGGATGATATCCTTGGATCAAAAGGATACTAAGTAGTAAACAAGAAGGATGGGCTGAATGGTCTCTTCTTCTTTGTAACAATTCTAAGGTTCTTACTTTTCAACTGGTATAGAACAGAGAGGTCAGAATCAGCCCGCAGTTTCTTTTTAGGACTTGTGAACCTACATTTCCTGTAGGAGTTAGTCATGTTTCCCCTTCATGATGGATATAGTGAGGGTTTCACCTGTCCTTGCTCTCGCATGTTGCCTTTGTCAGGAAACCAGCAGGTAGTTTTCCGAGGATCCTGTGCGTAGCCATGAATTCTGCGAGATGCAGAGGCAAACAATCCAAAATCGTAATCCAGAGGCAAGGTCAATAGGAGAAGCTAGAGATCAGTTAACCTGAAAGAGACGAAAAAACGAAAGCCAAGAGACGAGATCAAAAAGGGAAAAGTTAAGTCCAAAAACCGGGAAATCCAACAAGACAAAACTACGCACTAGAAAACTCTAAAGGAGGTGTTTTAATAGTGAGCAAGGTTTGGTGCATGAGGGAACTTTAAAAAGTGAAGGGAGAGGGATATGGTTGGATAATTGGTACAGGAGTGAGAATCTGGTGCCTGTAAGAATGTGATGGGTTCACTTAGGAATGAGATTGTGAAACAGTGGGTTTGGGAACGTAATGGCGTTTGCGAGGGCAAGTCCGGGGCGTGAAAGCCGTGGCATGGTAGTTTTTCCCAGCTTCCTAGCAATCAGCTGTCATCATCTTGGTTTACCTGTGGCAGGACATTCACATCAGTGTGGTGTGTGTCAAACATGTGCTCAATTACAATTGCTCATTTGCCTGCAGTAGGCTAACTACTGTAGGTTCCTCCAACCAGCATGACGACATGTTGAAGGGAGGGTTCCAGTACTATTCATCTGTGATCAGGAAATGTAAACTGCTGTCTCTGTGGTGGATAGAAAGAGCTGCTGGTACAGTATGTGGCTTATCATATGATCTGTACTGCAGTGTTGTACTGTACATCTTCAAGTCCTTGCCCTTGACCAATATTTTGATCACATTGTTGTTAAACCAGGGGTGAATGCATATTTCCTTTGTTCTTGTTTGGGAGATTACCATAGGAATGTGCATACACAATTCTGAATTTGTTTTGTTCCAGGCTTCATAGTCAATGTTTTTGGCTAATAGTTGATTTATTTGACTTCCTTTAGCAATCAATTAAAATAAAATCATAACAGTTAATGATCTTAAAAAGAAAGTGTCTCTCCATGGCAGTCACTGACAAACAAAGATAGCAGGAGTTATTAACTTTAGAAATTAACACTGTACATTTGTTATTTAAAAAAATCTGCCCTACAAAAATACATTAAATCCTCAGTACATTATTTGCTTTTAATTTGACTTCTGTAACAAACAGCAACCTTCCAATGAGAGTTATTATTGATGGTGAAGAAGCCAAGAGTAAAATCTCTCATCTCTGTAATGATAATAAAAAGGCTTTTTTTTTCTAAAAAGAAAGACACAAAATGTAGAGGAATATAATAAAGTTTTCTACAAAACTGTAATTTGTATTTACTGAGAATGGATCTGACGGATGGACTCAAGGGATAGGTCTCCAAAGCATGTACAATCAAAGCTTCTGGCAAGACAACACATACTCTAAAAGGTGTGCATAATAAGTTCAGCCACAAGAAATGAAACGCATTTCAGTGCTCGGAATTTATTGATATTACTTGATTATTAATTTATTGATTTTCACTGGATTTTGAAGACCTTAGCAGGAGCACAACAAAAATGCTGGAATTTTCAATGTTGTATTGTTTGGTAGATTTCCGGTCTCTCCACTAACAGTCTATTCAGTTTATGTTTCTTTTCACTATTCTATTAACAGTATTTTAAATAACTTAACCATCTATTCTAGTTACAGTACAAATCAATGGGCACTTCAATTCCTGATCTTCGAAAGGTATGATTATTTTTGTTCTTTCAGACGATATAGCACATTTACTAGAACCAATGCTATAGCACAGCACAGAAAAGCACAGGCCAGAAATCCTGTGAGTTAACAACTAGCAAATGCAAGTAACCACAATTTCCCTCACAGTAAGAAGTTTACAGCATCTGTATAATATTGAATATGTTGTAAATTCAGGAGTGCATGGAAAACTATAGGAAATAAATTGGAAATAAGATGACACTTTATTGCAGATTGAAACATTTTAATGTATAGCAGATGAAAAAATTAAGGAATATATTGAGGTTAATTTCCAAAATGCAGATTTTATTGTTGGTTTTAGAAATAATGGCAACAAATACATGCAGTTATTATATTCATACAAACATCTGATACGTGTACATGTGAACCCTGAGATTCTAATAGTCACATCCAATTCAAAAGGAAGATGATTATTAGACATTGGGAATATTCTCTGTCACTAGTCATTTTACCTAAGATCACAAGGTTTTTATATGGAAATTGATTAGCTGCCAGAGATGGAGATATCATCAACCATTTTTATTTTGCCATGCCCTGAAGACCAGTTATCTTCATCTGATCCCCAGAAAATAGTTCCAATTAACCCATCTCCAAGATCTATATCATGAAGATATAATGATCACCACAAAAAAGAAAAACTACATGCAAACATTTTGCTATCTTATAAGAGGAAAAAAATGTAGCACCATAAAAAAATTGGCACCCAGAGTTTGATTGATTGTTTTGTACTTTGGATCCATTGTTTTTCTTAGGAGGAAATTAAAAGTGAATGAAAAGAAATTATTAAATGTATGAAGGGACAGCTGTAAGAATGATCAGGAATAACTGTTTTATAAGTATTTTATTGTGTTTCCTTTCTTCTCTTTTCAGCATGGAATAAGCCTATTACTTGTTCCTTAACTGTTTTATATGGCAGATACAGTATATGAAATCAGCCTCACCTCAACCTCACAGTGTGATCACAGTTTATAATACTACATTCAGTCAATCTACAGTATACTTCAATGTTACAATTTCCCCCATAATAGAATTCTTGATTTCATCACTTGTCAACAGTAGTTTTCAAGGAATGACCAACATATAATCCTATAATAATTATGAGTTTTGGGTATAGAACTTCTTTGGCAGTGGAAATCCTGGTTCCTTTCACTGTATTAATTCAGTCTTCACTTCAGTCAGTGGTGAACCCATGAGACATATACTTTTGAGGATCAAGGATCATAATTTAAAGTGTTGAAGTAGACATTTCTGACATGCCAAGACAATGGTTTCCATGCTCAAAAAAAATTTCCTAATAATCCCCATCTATGAATTGGCTTCATTACTATGCTCTCCTCCCCACTGGGCTGATGTGTGGTGAGCGTTCTGGCGCACTATGGCTGGCGTCGCATCATCCAGGTGGATGCTGCACATTGGTGGTGGTGGAGGGGAGTCCCCATTACCTGTAAAGCGCTTTGAGTAGAGTGTCCAGAAAAAGCGCTATAAAAGTGCAAGTAATTCTTCTTCTTCTTCTTCTTCTTCTTCTTCTTCTTCTTCTTCTTCTTATTCTTATTAGAAGTGTGTACATTTGGCAGCTTAGTTAAGCTGTTAGACATTTTCCTACTTTGTTAAGCTTTGTTTGTTTCTTCACCGGTGAGTTGCAAAGGCTGTACAGTTCTTCACAACTGCCCTGTTTTAACTCCTTTCCCCACCATGTCACTGTGGAATGAGGGAGGGCTACCTTCCCTGACACCACAACCATATGCTCATGGATCCGCTTGTGCCTCCCGAGCATCCATTCATGCACCAAAAATATATTTTCTCAACTTTTTTGAGAAAAACCAGCATTTTTCCCCAGCGCATGGAGATGTAATTGTGAAATCAGGCTCACGTTTTAAGTTTGAATGCAGCTTTCAGTATTTCATAAGCTCCACGGAAGTGACTTGTTTTTTCTTTTGGTTCAGAAAAGAAATAAGTTGAAGAGGAGTCAAATGTCAAACAATTTGAGAAATCATTTATAATTTATGAATTATTGTGAATGACTGTATTACAAAGTAAAGCTTTCGGTTTCCACATAGGCTAATTTAGTCGAAGTAGAAAAGCGAATGACCACATTTCAGTGATTACATTCTGAAATGTAGAATATTTTGCTAGAAAGATAAAAAGAGGCTACGTTCCTTTTCACACCGTGTTTCTTTCATTACCAGGGACCGGTTCCTTAAAGTCATTCTTATTTGAGGATCGTTTGATATATAAAACACAATAATTTAAGAAAAAAATGGAATTAATGTATTACAGTATGTGTCTCTCTGGCTCTGCCTCTAAGGTGAGATCGGTACTGGTTCACGGGCAAGGGGGTGAAAATCATTGCTTTAGAAGGTAAAACTCAGAACACATTTTACTAATGGATTTAGACTTTATTTTGCGCGGTGGTATAATTCTTTAAATGAATCGTAACAAATGTCTTCTATTTCATTAACAAAAAGATTCAAAAGGAAAGTGCATACAAAGCATCTCTTACGGAGTTACCAATATCAGTTAATTTATAGATGACAACATATACAATATATTTTATTAAAAATACTAGTGGCACCATGCTAATGTAAGTCTGTAGTACTCGGTACTTGTAGTATCACGGATTCATAATACCTATGAGGGACAATTTAAAGTAGCCAATCCCTTGAATTCTGAATGAGTTCAGCCTACGTTTAGATTTACTGCCAAAACATGTCTCGCAGCAAACCAAGCATGCAGTCATTCCAGCACTGCTATTTCAACAGCTGCTGTGACTAATACTACAGCAACTACAAAAACTAATACTAAGGACATTGTGCTCCGGGCCGCCTGTGAATCTGAGACTTGTGCGTTGTTTCCTTGATATATAAAAAAAAAAGAATGCCGCGTTAATATGGGTGTGCTGTAGCTCCACAATAACTTAAGTCTCGTCTGCAGGGAAGTCAAGCTGCAATGTTTTAACATCTTGTTTTCCGCAGACCTTCTCGGTCCATCTTTATCCCTAAACCTACTGACTGATTGGCATGCCGATGGCGAGGATGTTCTCTCTCATCGGTCCCTAGCTCCTACTTCAACAAGCTTAATGCGTCTTCATTCCTTGAAGCGTGGATGAATGAAGTAGTCTGCCTCAGTGTCGGAATTAAAGTATAATAGCAGACCGCAAAGGACCTGACATTTTCAGCGATTTACAAAAAGAGGGAAGTTTTAACTGTCCGGGAGCTGCGCGGAATTAAACACCTTTTGCAGGTACGTCGCAGATTGTTTTCAATTCATATTATCACCATGAAGTAAGTTTTTAATTCAGTATTGTTTGCTTAAACATCTATTACGAAAATGCTATATGGAACCGGTCTAATCTAGTTGCTTTACTATTCAAAATTGTTCAGCAAAGTTTATTTTTGAACCTGCTGTACATTAATCAACCTTTGTTTTTGCTCATCACATATCAATTTGCATGTTCGAGCTTTTGTTAACAGTGGGCATTGCGATGAATGGTTATTTTATCTTTCAGCGTGTACATTTGTCCAATACACAGGTTATAAAAATAAGAAATCAGCCATTCGACCCATATATACCCGCGTAAGCAGTGTACCTACTGTACGTGGAAAAGATAATTGAGAAAAGCGTATCTACAATAAATGAAACGATAAGAAGGAAATATAATTCTGTGTACAACTTTTAAGTTGTTTACAATCAGAACAAGAAACGCAGGTAGCTTTTGCCAAGTTCAAAGTCAGTTGTAATTGAACATTTAAAGTAGAGGCGACCTTAATGACCAAATGAAGCATTGTAGCTTTTAAACATCAACACACTGACTCATCAAATGGTTATATTAAAGATGATATACCTACTTTTAATAATGCATTATCATGCAGATGTTGCAAACAAATATGTCATTATGTTCAATCGCTTTGTGTGGTTAACTGCAGATCTGGAAAGAGAAAGGAAATCTTACATTTTGTTTTCTCCTCCTCAGTGTTAGTGTGGGAGGATTGAGGTCAAAGATAGCATTTTTTTTAATCAAATAGGATTAAATGAATACACCACATTAAAGAAGACCAAAAAGAAATGGAGGTATTCAATATCCATATCTAAGACGACCTAAAATTATAATATAAATTATTTCATGATGATTTCATTTTTTTAAACGCATGATCAAATGCTTAAAAAATTATGAATACTTTCCTGTATTTTATTTAGAAATGTGTCTGTTCGCAAATGTGAAAATATGACAAATCAGAGCAACGATTTGACTGCGTGTATCAATTAAGGTATTTTCGAATACTGTATCTTACGTGGCGCGAATTGTACTTTGTAATTGACTTACAATCTGAGGTAAAATTGTTTCCATCTGAGTAGCAATTTTCAGTGTTAACCATCAGTGCTAGGAGAGTGATATAGTGATGTAGACCATACAGTATGTTTAACAGCCTAAGTAACAAATCCGGTTTAACTGTATTTCTGTTTACTTTTTAAATTTCATCTTAGTAAATCTTGAAATATTTAAAAATTTTAAGTTATCAAATCTTTCTTTATATTTATTAATTATTTTCTCATTACATAATTTGGTATATGAAGAGCACACTCCATTACATTTTTTCTTGTTGCATTTGTTGAAAACTTGAATTTTGTTATTGAAATTAACACTTTACACGATTGGGATGATAAAATAAGGGATTGACACATGCAGACTATTCTGTAGCTCAAACTTCAATCTGCATTAGAACTAGGAAAGATTATAATTTCTTGATGGATGTTGCAGGAAATGTGTCTTTACATCCTACTCAGATGGGACACAACAATAAATGTGAGCTACTGTACCTTGTTATAAGGTCGTTGTTTTCTGATACCTTTATTAACAGAAATACATCTAAAACGTTTTTCATACAATATGTGTCCCTCTTTGGAAACTTACATCTCATAATGAACTACCTCAGCAGTGTAACGTTTGTCTTAAAAAATCATTATTTTATGAATTTACAATAGACAGGAATTTCACCTTCAGAGCTGAAGAATAGCTGTTATCTGTTTGATCCTTTATTTCATAAGCCTGGCTTGGTATCCACCTCAGCCCCTTGTGGACAGTTTTCTATCTGCAGCATAAGTCTGCAATATTGTGTGGTCGTTCCACTGGGTATTTCATACAATGGTGTGTCTGTTACTACTTTGGGGATTAAATTAAAACAAGGATTCCCCATAACAGGAGGTGATGTGTTAAAATGAAGTGAATGCTTTGACATGGACTTTTAAAAGCAGGTTTTGAAAAGACCACAACTAATCTTTCTGTACAAGTCAGAATTGCAAACCTCTGTACTGTAGATACCTTAGAGTTAATGATTTGTTCTGAGATGTGCACACCTGAATCAGCCAAAAACTGTAATATATCGAACAACCTTTCAGTGGACCATTTTTCACTAATACACATAACATTTTCAGCTTAGTTTATACTATTTTTTTTCATAATTACTGCTGCACAAATAAACAACTGAGGTTAGTCATTTTGAATGTAGCTGAAGAGAGGTAAGACAGTGTTGGTAAGGGGAAATTCCAGTTTTCAGATGTACTCCTCCTAAAAAAAGCTCCTTCTGTTCAAGGTTACCGTCAGCCTGGAGAATTTTCTATATATTTTAGTGAAAGCATAAGAATTTTAATGAAACAGCACGGTAAATGTTATTCCAATTATACGCTCAACTGAAGTGTAGGTGTATTTAAATTAGAAATATTATGGTTGAAAAATCAAACAAACAAGCAGAATCTCACAACAGGGTTTCGGATCAAGAAAAGACAGTTTTATTGTTTTATTTCACAGTAGATGTTGGTGTATTTCCACCAGAAAAGATAAGTATCAATTCAACCAGTTGATCTTTAATTTAAAATCACTTTATCATCTCACATTATTTATTCTATCAAAAGACCCAAATTCGACTTACTACTTTTACTGTCTGGGACTGAATGCCCAATACGATCACAACCTACTGTTCACAGTAGAAGAACAGATGGATTTATAAACCTTCTCCCATCTGATGTCATCTTTCTCTTTACTTATGTTACTCCATCCATAGATGGAGTAAAGGTCTAAAATTACTCTCAAGGTACTTGAGAAAAGAGATGAATCACCCCTCACACTTGGGGTCTTATCTTTGGACCTATGTAATAATTGGTGCTGTACAGTACATCCTTAGTAATGTGATTCAATGAGAGCAAATTAAGCTCTCATTCTTTTGAACAGTTTAAGTTACCAATGGTTTATTGTAAGCATGCTTACAGATTGGATTATTAATTGAGAAGAACAATTTATTCCATGCTATTTTAACAATACAACTATTCTAAATATGCTGATTTATGCAAATTTACTCAAAATAGCATTACAGTCAATCCTCAGTTTTGAGCCAGACATGAGCCTACAGCTCACGAAAATTTGAAATGGATCAAACTGAAAACAAGTCATATTTTATGCTCTTCTTTGTTAGTTCATTACAAATGTATAATTTAAATTGATACTCAATTTATAACCCTTCCCACCCATTGTATCGAACTACCACAGAAGACAAATGAAAAGGCTCAAGTTGTGTCACCAACTCTGTTTGTGGAAGATTTTATATAGCAAGTGAGAGGAACACCAATATCAGTGTTCTATATGAAGCAGGTTCCACAAGCATTTGAAGCTTATATAATGTAAGAATATAATGTTTGGTTTGTCATGTCATCTGCATGTCAAACCTCAATCTTAGACAGAGCAATCACACCAAAAGTGGGACAAACGTTTTTACAAAGACATAGTTAAAGAAAACACAGAGAAATCTAACAGTGATATCAGCTCCTGGGGGATAACAGACCTTGACTAATCAATATGGAGGAAGAATAGCCCAGCACTTTTGAGAACCAATGTTGTAAGTATGAGGAGACAGTGAATGTATTGAATAAAGAGTTGATTGTGCAGATCTCAAGATGTCCCAAGACAGCTTCTGCTCAACCTGTTTATAATGTGAAATGCCAGAATTAGGTTGTGTATTTATTCATCTCAGGGTAGCAGTGGAAAATGTTGGCCTTGATCTGTATATATTTAAAGCAATTTGGTTTCAACCGAAATCCCTGCTGTACATTTTAGGATACATGTTGTGGTGAATTATTGTGGTGTGCTCCTCAATAATCATTAAAAAACAGCATGTGTTATGTATTTGTGATGTGTCAGGAATAACGTGTCAGCTAATTAACTTTAGTTTTCTTTTATTAGGGTATCTTAATGTTTTAGCATTTTGTTCTTATTGTTTCCAATTATGCTTCTTGTTTCTTAACTGGATTGTTTCATACTATTTCTTTTATGTAATGTTATGAATGCTTATCTGGTCATATGTGGAAAGAGAACGTTCTCTACATTTAATTAAATGCATGCAAATTAAGTGTTATATGTGCAACATAAATCATGTGTAATATCATGGTGTTTATGCAAACCTATAGTACAGTATATACAGTATATTATACCTAGATTTACAGCAGGATACAAGTGGTTCTCATTTTGCACATTAACTATGCTGTGCCCATAAATTCTACATAATAACTAGTTTATAATTAAAGCAAATTATTTGTCAACTTATTGTAGGTTGTAATTGGTTTATCATTTTAAACGGTGTAATTGTTGTTTTTTAATGCATTATACTGTACAGTATATTAACCAAATTACAAGTTTTATTAGAAACATATATACAGTATAATAATATAGTATACGTTAAATATTGTGACATAAATTATGGATATCAAAAGAATATAACCCAGTTTGTTCTAAAAACATTGTTTTCATTATTTCAGTGTGCTTTTGATATTTCTTAGATAGAAATTCAAGGTCTTATCAGGACAACACCTAGAATTGAATATTAGTGATGAAGTGTCACAGGTGTATCACAAATCACTCAATATATTTTTGTCAGTCGTCTTATTGCAAATTGGCAACTCTCATATACATTTTGTAAATATTTAAGTTGAAAGTGTTTGCATATATCTATATGTTTTGAACCTGCTTGTGTAATGTAGGGAAAAACCAGGGTTGAACATCTGTCTCATTCGTTTTTTCCGTGCATTTTCTTCATACACCAACGTTATTCATAAAATGATTCTTTCCAGTATTAAAAAATTAATTTCCATTTTTTTTATTGTGTTCAGTAAAACACAAAATAAATAGAGAAATTTGTACACTTTTCATATTTAGTAAAATTCTTTTTTCAAGACTAGTTTCACAATATAAACTTAGT